TGAGAGCAGAGGCTGTTCTCACAGGGACTGCTCCTCAGCAGGGCTTCCTGGCCCATTGGTCTCCTCCTCGCTGCGGTTTTGCAGATTGATCTGATTCGTTTTCGTATTGATTCCTTTGGCTACTGACTGATTTTTGGCATCAACCCTGACTCGATTTTAATCGACCCGGCCTACCTCCACTTCGACATCGCTTACAATCAACCTCGGCACCATCTTCGACCATCTGTTCGTCCAAGTTGGACTGGCGTCACGTCGTTTACATCGTTCACCGCGTTACAGTTCCGTTGTTTGTCATCCCAGTCAATAAGCTGTTGACCAGTCCTGGGACTATCGAGTGGGTAGCCGCACCTATCCTTCGGGGTAGAAAGCAAGGGCTTACTCGGGAACCCCGTGGGCCAACAGACCCCTTCGTTGTTCGTATACTGTAACTGAAGCAAGCTTCTTCAGTAGTGTAAGTTAAAAATAAATCAACTTTATTTGAAACTGCGTGTCCTGTACCGCTCGGACTCCTCGCTGCCAATCCCACCTGTTTCATATTAAAACCCTCAGCCCACCATGACCTTGGGGCCGCTGTTCCCCAGCAAGACTCACTCTAACTGCAGAGAGAATTCTTCCTTTCCAGCAGCATGATTGTAACTCTTATATGCGAAAGGAAAAATTGACACGAGATGCAAAATGTTTCAGAGATTACATTATTTAATTTTAACACAAGGCAAAAATACAGTTACACAAGTTGTTACGGTGGGTTTAGCAAGACATACTTAGAAATGCTTTCTTAACTTTAGTTACATTTACAGCGATAAACTGCAGACTAAAGCAACATTCTCAAGAGAGAAATACTGAAGAACTGACATCTGCACCCATCCTTACCCAAAGAGAGGAGGAGAACAGAAGTCGGTGTTCAAAGGCAAAATCTTGTTTTGCTATTTTTAGGATTTACTGCAAGCTAAGCACTTTCCAAACACTTACTAGACTTAAACATTCGTTTAATTTGCTAGAAGAGTCTTCCTAGAAATTGTAAGAAGAGAAATCAAGGATTTCTTCAAATTTCTCTAGCTTGCTGTATCCATACATAACTATTTCATGTGTCTTAGCTGCCAAGGAAAGTCTTCCATAGCAGTTTTCTTCTAATGTGGTTGACATTGATGGTTAAAACAAGCTAGCCAGTTAAAACAAGCTGAGAAATAGTGTTCCTATTTCAAACTCCAGAGGAAAACTTGGGCAGAAAATAACCACCCAACTGGAATTTGACCAGGAAACTGGATTTGAAAAGGATTTCCTCTTTACACAGTGAAGGAATACACAATAGATCAAGTATCAAATTCCTGAAATCTAATTCACTTTAGAAAAATATATTTTGCTATCTGTGATGCTAATGACCTGTGTGCTAAATTACTACAATCCTACACAGAGCTGGATGAAAAGTAACCATGTATAATCAAGATTTTGGACAATTATATAGAGAAGTGTGGGGGGGGGGGAGGTTTAACCCTCCATTGCCACCGGGAACAAGGAAGGACAGCTGGCTCCCTAAGTGCCCATGGTGAGCTGAGCTGTAACTCTGCTTGGTGCAGTGGCTGTGTGGTGCTCCACTATGCCAAATAGCTGATTAGTGACCAATTAGTTGTTTGGTGGAACAGGCAACAGCAGCCATTTCAAAGATGTTGCTGCTGCTCCACTCTGCCTGTAGGCAGCAACAGCTGATCAAGGGTCCATCAGCTGTTGCTGCCTGGTGGCAGCAGCTGTTGGGGCTGCTGCAGCAGCAGAAACAGCTGATCACGAGCACTGATGCACTCTAATCAAATTGAGTTTGGAGAATTTGCATGCAAACAGCTTCTAATGTGGGTAAAATGAAAATTGGTTAAAAAAAGAATGCATTTGAGGAGGGTAGGAGCTCTGAGTCCGTGCACCTGGACTGAATGCCAGGTTGTGAATGCTGTCTCTTTACTGTAAACAAGGTGCAGGGCCCTGAGAGCTTTGAAAAGGGGTTGTCGGGGATCTAGCTTGCCCCAACATATAATCATGCTCTGCCCTTTATACTTGTCCCCCCTGCACCTATGTTTTCCCTTACTAGTTAGGTTTTAAACAAACTGGATATACATGCTGGCTTTTAAGAATGTTCTCATATTAAAAAATACATACTACTCATTAAAAGGACAAAACTGTTACTTCAGCATGGATAGGCAGTGCTGATGTGAAAACTGGATGAATGTGATTTGAAACATTTAAGTTGGGGACACTTAGTAGAACTGGGTCCTACATAGTCTGCCATTAAAGTCAGGGGCCAACTTGCACTGACTTTGCTTTTTTTCAAAATTAAGCTATGAAGGTCCATTCTGCATGGTACTAGAGTACATGTTATCTCTAAAAATGTGGTAGGAACTAGTTATGTCAGCCTGACGTTAGGCAGAAGGCAGGGTAGAGTTGCATCTTACTCAGAATCAGAGATGCATAAGCTTTTGTTAAGGACAGCTCACTTAATCAGATGCTACGAAAGGGCCTTCTATGTGGGTAGATTTGTTGTGTTCAGTGGGAATATTAACCTGCCCTAATTAGGTACATGCTTGCTTCCCTTGTTGAATGTATGATCTATGTAATCTTATTACTACTTTTCTACCCTTCACTTGTCCTGCTTAGTTGCATGATGCCTTGAACAAGATTGAAAGCTCTCCAGGTCAGGGACTATGCCTCATGCATTTATATCATGCCCAAGATAATGAAGCATTAATCATTACTAGAATATTTGGATGCTACAATGATGCAAATAATTAGTATATTAGTCTTACCAGAGGAGTTCTAAAGCTGTAATTTTTGGAAAGGATTTTCCCTGCCTAGCCATAGGCTTGAATGAACATTTCAATGGGGACTACAGTGAGGGACTGTTTAAAATCTTTTGTCTTAATTCAGACCATGCAGGTTATTGAACAAAGGGAATTGTAATACAACAGGAATAAATGTAAAAAGTTCTTGCAAATCAAAATTCCTTCTCTTCCTCTTGTTTATTGGAGGCTTGCCCAGGAAATGCTACTCAATGGTCTATTTGCATCAACTTGGCTGGTATATCTGATGGGGAAAGCAGGAGTTTGTCATGCGGGATCAGCAGATTACCTTGTTTTTGTTATTGTTGTTTTTGGGTGTGTGTATGTTACTAGTTTGCTGCAGCTTTTTCGTGTGGGTGCGATTCATTCAGCTCTACAAACTCTGTCTTCCTAAAAAAGACTAATAAGAAATCATTGTCTTCTGGACCAGGTTCTTGCTCATCTTGACCCTACTAACAATTGTTTATGTTCTCTTTTGGCAACTGTTGATCCTTCCAGATCATGGTGTATGCATGAGAGGTCACCCAGGCCTTTGATATGTATGCCTAGGCAGGAGTTTTAGAGGAATAGAAGACCTTCCATCCCCCCTTTAGGCTATTGAGACAGAATCCAAAGGCCAGACTGAGTCTAGATGTTTGGTGCCTCCATGGTTGTATTTGTATAATCATCCAGGATTTGAACTCAGGTCTCCAGTATGGTAGGAAAGGATTTGACTACTGAACCACAGGAGTCTCCCTGTTTTCTTTAAGATAGTGCTAAAATACATTAATTTAATATAGTAACAGGTTTATGACCCAAATGGGTGGAAGAGACAGCTTTTTGGTCTAGAGAAAGACATTCAAAAATCCTGAGCCTGAATTTGAATCAATCTTTGCAGGTTAGTCTAACCTGGCTAGGCTGAACCAGTTTGTAACCTCACAGACATACCCTCTGGACTGAAACAATGCTGGCACAGGCCTGCAGTGGCTCAGGCTAGAAGCCGGGGGGGCACTAGAGCAGCCCTCCCTTCCCTTCTACAGTACTGAACTGAGGGGGGCATGCCAGGCCCTAGCAGCATGCTCTGATGTCCCCTCCCCCCCAGCAGCCCAGCAGGGAATGCTTATCACCCCTAACTCAGTGTTTATCAACCCATTAAGAAAACAAAGCCTCTATTAGATCAAGTTCTTCTTGAACAGCTTTTCCAAGGAAGGACGTTACCAGCTACTTGTTGATTAGCTTCAAAAGGCCTGTCTGCCTTTGTTGTCTCCCACAACACAGACTGTAGCCAGCATGTGGCTGCTAGCTAATGCTAAGAGATGTAAGGCCAAGGGGCAGGGGGAAAAATCCCTGCTTAGCAGGGAGAAGCCAGGCAGATGCTTGCAGTCTCTGCCAGAGCTCCAGCCTGGGAGCAGAGGGGAGGTGCCAGCCCTGCTGGGGAGCCGAGAGAGCTGCCCAACCCAGAGAGCATGCTGGTATGCTGGGGGGGTGAAACTGGTTTCAGCCATTTTCAAACTGATTTATGTGCACTGAACATCTGTGGCCCTTGCCACAGATATGCAGAGCTCCCCTGGGAACAGGCTGGGATCTTGCTGCGGTGACAGCATGGTCCAGAGCCAGGGCAGAGCTGGAATCTACAGTCTGCACACCCTGAGTGGATGTGCCCCAGCTCTGGATCATGCTGTCACTGCTGCAAGGAGCTGGGGCAGAGTCACAATCCACTCCCTGTATGTCCCTGCCTGGGATGTGCAGGCCGCAGATTGTGGTTCTGCACTGGCTCTGGACCACGCTGTCACTGCAGCAAGATCCCAGCCCAGCTCTGGACCAGCTCTGCACCCTGCCATGCACCCTGCCATCAGAAATGCTGCTGGGGATGGGTGGGGACTATAGCCACCCCAAAATTCCCCTTAGCCCCCCATAGCCACCCATCGCAGTGGTGCTGCTGTTTGCCCTGTACAGGCTGCAACAGCTAATCCCATCCCTCTCCTGCCTGTAGCATTGCTCCCTACCTCAGCTCTCACCCCCTCCACCCCCACCAGGAAGAGGCTGGAACCGCTACTGCCTCCAGTGCTGCTGAGGCCAGTCTCCACAGAAACCTTGGCCCCCATGCTATCACAGCATGACTGCTGCTAGGGTCCTAGCCACGGGGGCAGGGGCTGCTGGAAAATGGAGTCCACTGCTTACCGGATCCAGCCCATGGTCCATATTTTGCCTGCCCTTGCTTTAGAAGGGCCACAGATAGTGTTGATAGCAGTAGTAAAGGATAGCTAAGTAGAAGGTTTACACAGCTAATGAGAAATAGTAGCATTCCTATTTGTATTACCATAGCATTTTACTAGATAATGTACAGACACCAGGAAAAAGAAAATAAGACCAGCCCCAAAGAGTTCTCAAATTGAGCCAAGAGAAAACAATATATTGGAACATAGCAAGGCAGTGTTGGTTGGCATGGTAAGCAGTTTAACCATTTTTATCAGCATTGATTTGTGCATGAATGTCTGTAGCAAATTACAAACTTAAAATTGTAAAAAGGTTTAGGAAAAGGTTTAAAAGGAAGCATTAAGAAAACTGCAAACTACTTGCAAATAATTCATGGTCAGAAAAATAAATTAACATCAAATTAGTTACTGTGAATTATGTTGAGCTTTAACATTCAGTCACTAACTTGTTGTGAACTTCTGAATAGTTTATGATCATGTATGTCATCATTCCAATCTAGTACATGTGGCATATTGAGGAAAAACTGGCACTTTACTCCTGTGTTTTTTGAGGAAGTTGCACCTAATGAAATATTTCAAGCGTGTTTATGCATGAAAGAAACATACTTTCACAGTTCTACTGTGAGTAAAGTTCTGTCATTTATACTTGTTTGTTTGTACTCAGTTTTGAGGTTGGGATGTGGGATTGATTTAGCTGAACAGTGACTTATTAAGTGACAAAATTATGGCTTTCTGGGGGGGGTTTTCTTCATTGCATTTAAGAAAAATCACATAAACAAGTTTTAAGTGGCTTACTCATCATGAGCACAGCACTTAGAATTTGCATTTCCATCTAGCTAGATCCTGTCCATCTTCTTTTCCCTCTACATCTTTATTAAAGGAAGCAGCAAGTTACTATCAATCAATTGATCTCTCATATTTTTGCCGTCTTTTGGTAAGTTGAAAGCCCTGGGTCTTCAACACAGTAAACTACATTTTGAAATATTACTGTGTAGAGTTAGAGCAATTTTTGATCCTTTCTTAGACTCTTTCTTGAGTAGTAGCATCCCCTATGAGCTACTAAATTGTGGCTTTAATTTAGCACACCAGGGCTGCATCCCCATGAGTGGGAACGTGCAGGTTGTAGTGCTTCAAAGCCTTTTGTGGCACCACAAAAGGCATGTGATGCAAGTTAATCTGTTCACTGTGCTGCATATTTGCAATGTGGAGGAAAAATTAGATACAAGAAATCCCAATATCTTTTTAAAAAAGCACCAGAAAACCAGCACACCACACATGGCAGCACCTGAAACTGGACCTTGGCTGACCAGAGCAAATGACAGAACAACAGGTATCCTTATGACTATTCTGGTTGACTCTGAAAGAGTACGTGCTAGATCTACCACACTTGTACAAGAGGCTTCCCTCCGCTCTGGCTAATCTCTGCTGTCTGATGCAAAATTACAGGGGCCAAAGCTCAGATCTTGCCTCATTAATTTTCCACACATTTCTGGGGAAATGGTATACCTCAACACCAGGTGCAAAACCTACACCAAACTTTATATTTAGGAAGCAACATAATTGTGGTCATAGCCAGTCTTTACACTGAGGTTTGGAGGGAGAAGTCTTCTTTTGTTTTCTCTGATATTATTTATCTATTCAGGGACATACACTCTCTGATGTTAATGTGTCTCTACTCAGAATTTGAGACTGAGGAAATGAATGGTCCATCAACTGTATTCATTCACACAGATATCATAGAGAGGTAGGGCTAGAAGGGATGTTCAGAGTTTATCTAGTCCAATCCCCTGCCAGGGTCCTCTTCCTCCAACCCCCTACCAGACCCTCCTCCTCCAGCAGCTGGTGGCAGAGAAGCAGGAGGAGACCACATTGACTTGGAAGGAAGAGGACTTGGCTTGGGAGGAGAGGTGGAGGGATGAGGACTTGGCATTCCAGGAGAGGTCGCAGGCAAAGGACATCACCCAGGAGGAGGTGTTTCGGGCCGAGTCCCTGGCCCAGGAACAGGAGCAGGGCCTGTGGGAACAAAATACCATCCTGGGCTGGTCTGTGCAGGTCATAGATGATAACTGTTGGGTTCTGGACATTGCCATGGTCCTGGCAGTCTCACACAGGCCAGCCAGTACCTGGCCCCCGTTCTCAGCCCCAAAGGTGCCATGACAACTGCCCACCACCCCACAGCAGGGCCTCACCTGGGCCTGGGAGGAGGTCCTTCATTGCCTCCTGCTGCCAGGAGCCCATGACCCAGTGCACTCCCCAGGTCCACCACTGCCCAGGCCCCCCGCATGGGCCCAGGCCTGCTGCTTCCATGGGTCCACGTGGTCACAGAGCCACATCAGCCAGAAGTGGGAATAGGACCCCATGCCGACCCTGCTGGCCACAGACAGCCTCTAACAGAGGGGGAGCCACCCATGCTAGACAACCAGTGGCCGCTGTCATCCTGGGGCAAGCCCTCCACCCACCACATGCACCACAGCATATACCTCCCTCCAGCAGAACAGCCCAAGGCTGGGGTGCTAGCCAGCCACTCCTGAGCTCTGCCCACTAGGCACCTTCAACCCATGGCTTCCCACTCCAGGACAGAGGGTTTTTTATTGTTGGTGGGTGGGGTGGTAGTGGAGGGGTTCTCTTTGTTGGCGAAGGAGGAGAAGGGAGAATCTATGTGTTGGACAGGGAGAGGGGAGGGAGATGTGGGTGTGATGTGAGAAGAATAGAGTAGTTGTTTGAACACGTTTTCCATGATAGTGGTGCTGGAGGTTGGCAGAGAGTGGAGGGTCTGGGTGGCGGGGCAGGTGGGATAGAGTGGGGAATGCAGGAGGTGGTAATCAGCTAGAGTCTCCCACACTGCTCTGACCCCACTGGTAGGTGCATGGCTTTCCTGGTGCCTTGGCAGGGGTCCCCACTGCTGCCAACACAGGTGGTGCTCCTGCTGCAAGGCCACCTCCATCTGCTGTGCCTCCTCCATGGAACATCTCTCCCTGGAGCTCACAGGTATTATGCAGCATCCAGGCTGTGATGATGACCTGGGGGAGGCTGTCCTTAGCAACCTCAAGGCAGGTGGTTAGGGAGTGCCAGCAGCCCTTGAGGTGGCTGAAGGCTCACGCAACCAGGGTGTGGGTCTAGCCCAGGCAGCAATTACAGTGGGCCTGATAGGGGTCCAGTGTAGGGCCGCATCAGCCGTGGCAGGAGCTGCTAGGCAGTGTCCCCAATGAGCAGAGGTGGGAACACCATGGTGCCCAGCTGCAGGTCCAGCACCCCCAGCATGAAGTGCCTGCTCTCCAGCAGTCCCACCTGGCTGGAGTTCTGAAAGATGTGAGCGTCATGCACACTGCCTTTCTCATCCAGCACTCACATGGGTGAACATGCCCCATGGTCCACAACAGCTTGCAGAACCATGGAGTGAAATTCCCATCAGCTGTAATAGGGGCAGTCCCATGGGGAGGGCATGTAACCATGATGTGGGTCCCTTCCAGGTCCCAGATGCACTGGAACCCTGCCACCACTGACAGTGGGTCATGGACATGGAGCACAATGTGCCCCAGCACATTCTGGAGGGCCCCACACATCTCCAGGATGGCCTCCCCACTGGTGACCTTGCCCATGCCAAACAGGTGTCCCACATAAGGTAGGCAGGAAGGTGTGGCCAGATTCAGCAGCATGAGGGACAGGTGGCTGTTGACAGGGAAGGCCAGGTACATGCCAGTGTCCTTCTGCTCCAGATCAAGCAGAGCTGCTGGAGAAGGTCCGAAAAGGTGACCCAGGTCAGTCAGAAGGCTTCCAATCACTGTTTGTTGTCCCAGGTCTGCTGGACAAGGTGCTGCCACCTATGATGGCTGGCCCAGAGGTGGTGTGGCTGGAGGCCCGGGAGGGTGATGGCAGCCCCGGCAGTGTCATCATGGAGCCCCTCATTGCTATCCATGGCAGAGGCAGCTGCATGGTGGTGGCAGCCCTGGGATGGCATGTTGTGGGCAGGTAGGTTGTGGGCAGGTAGGCAGTTCCTGGTTGTGGGGGAGCTGGGCAGGGCAAACCAGCCATGGGCCAGGTGACAATCAGCACAGTAGACCAGTGAGATGATTATGGCAGCCAGCAGGATCCCCAGACTCATGGTTGCTACCAGGGCCAGGGGCTGGGGCAGCCATAGTGCGGAGAGGCAAAGTGGGCATGGACAAAGGTGCGTATGCTGCCTCTGTGCTTGCTACACTGCTCCTGAGCAAAGGAAGAAGCTGCCCAGAGAGCAGAGAGTGAGCTTTTCAAGAAAGCTGCTAACTGCTGGCAGCTACAGCTAAAGCCTGGAGCTCCCCCTGCCCCCCTCCCCCCCCCCCCCACCCCCCCCCCCCCCCCCCC